AAGAAAAAAAATTACAAAAAAAGTTTACGTTGACCATAGATCGTTTATTTTTTACAAACTGAAGAGTTTTGGGTATGTTGTTGTTCTCTTTTAAACGCTTCTAAAAATATCTATAAAATATTAATATAGTTAATTCTTATAAACTTTTGTACAGATATCAGACAGCGTATTGGGAAGATTCGCCACACATAGGAACCTTCCAATACAGGTTCAATGGCTTTCAACACCAACCAGCAGATCATTATTTTCGTGCATTCTTCCTTGAACATAACTCACTGTCTTTTTTTACACCTAAGTACTGCACTGGATCCACTCCCACGTATGAATTAATGATGAATATATCCGATGAGGTATGTACAACATTACCTACTTGTTAATGGACGTGATTGAATAAGAGAGACATGTGGACAAAATTGTGCAACTTCATCGTATTGAATTAATAAATACATAAGGCACAATCAGCATCAAATTCACAGGGGCATTCAACGTACATAATTATATAGCCGCACACAAACCACTAAAATATTTGTCCAACAAAGTTACAATAGCTCACTCAAAGCGTCATAAATATCGGTACACTTTACTGGCGATGCAAAGATTCTAACTAGCGCCTCTAGTGTCAAAATTGTGAAACTGTCCAAGAACGGCACTTTGAAAGTTTTCCTAACAATTTTATTAATGTCAGGGAAAATTAAATTATAAATAAAAATCAGATTTAAGTGGCATTTTGTTGTTTATGGGCTGATTTTTCAATAGTCAGATAAATGTTATCTGAGGAGTAAAATTGTTGCTGTCACAGTCTCAAATCAGTATTTATTTATATATTTATTTATTTGGACTTCCAACAGAGAAAACACTTTAAATGCCAGACAATATACATAACAAAATATTTTCTTGTGCTTCTCTACTTATAAGAAGCCACAGCATGCAAATATAATGTAACAGCATAAATACAAATACAAATACAAATTTAAAATGATGTAAGTATTAAATTAAATTTTAACATTTCGTTATATTAAGTCTAATAACAAGAAATCAAAATTATATAAAACAAAGTTTTTTTGTTAAAGTAGCTAATCAAAACATGATCCTTTCAAACATAAAGCATAAGCCAATCAAATAGTAAAATTTGTCAAAATAAAAATAAAATATATTAATAACAAGCATTTTCTGAATTATAAAAATAATGATAATGAATCCGCAAGGCAGCTTGTGGCGAGCTGTTGGGCAGTGGCGACCCCACGGACCTGACTCCCGGGAGGTGTCTTGTTCTTCATCTCCGGTTAGCCCTCGTGACGAGCTGGAGTGAACACTGATGAGGAACAAGCCCTCCTACCTCATTCTTGCCTTAATTGGCTGGCTTGAGTGGAGATTCGCAAGAGTAGGAGTTGAAGGAGACTCGGGGGAAGGATGTATCTCAGTAAGGTGCTGGTAGGGGTCTTGACCTTACTTCCGGGATTGCTCTCATAGCCGTGGGATGCTTCTCCTTCTCCAAGCAGCTCAACGTATGTTGCCTCCGTGTCGCTACATGCTAGCGGCCGTTTCCGGAGGCCCATTAATTGAGTTTGCCAGTCACCCCCTGCCTAATTATCCGTATGTATCAATATTGGTCAGGGGCAGGGGCCATAGTAGTTCCATAGTTGTCATATCCACCAGTCCATAGCAACCCATACCCTTTCAATAACCCTTTCTATTTTTACCACATTTCGCAATAGTCCTGCATCAACCGGGGATTATCCTTGGGTGCACTTTCATAGTGCATAAAGGGATAATTGCCGGCTGATGTCCCATTTTACTTAAATTAAAGTTGTTCAACGGGCCTCTGCGAGTTGGCTTCGGCCCCTCGTACGCCTTCCAAAGGTCCGGGATCCTGTGATCCCGTGAACGGAAAAGAATGATAATGATATGAATATGAAATGAAGTCAACATTAAACAAATTGAGAATAGTCTAAAAAGAAATGAAATTTTAATCAACAATGGAATTACAAATAAACACTATTATATTAAAGTCAAATCATTGCTTGACAATGAATTAATAAAACATCTTTAGTATGTTTATACAGATAACACTACGATTCTTGCGCATGTATACATATTATGTCATTGAAGTGTTTAAAAATTAAAGATTTATAAGTGCTTAGAGTGTTAGAGAAGATGTCGATGTCTGCCAAAGAATTAGCAACACAGTTATATTGAGGGGTCATTCTATGAATTGGAGAGTGTTTACCCAGATTAGTGCGGTGTTGTGGAACCTAAAGTAAGGGTTGTGGGCGGCGTGGGACCCTGGAAGGGACTCTAATCTGAATACCGTTCAGCAATTCTGGGCAGTCAACGCCATTGTTAAGTATTTTTTGTAGAAAGTGTAAGTCAGAAATAGAACGACGAGATTCTAGGGTCAATAGCTTTAGTTGGGTTCTTCTATCCTTATATGATTTACAGTTCCGAAGTTTGAACTTAAACGCTAAATGACGGGTAAATTTTTTTTTTTGTACTCTTTCGATCCGATTTATTTGCACTTGATATGATGGGATTGGCCAGACTTTACTACAGTACTCCAGAGTACTTCGGACATTATTATTAAACAACATAAGGGTGGTGGAAGGTTTTTTAAAATCCTTAGACGATCGCAGGACGAATCCAAGTGCTCGGTAGGCCGAATTAAGCATTTTGTCGATGTGGTCTACAAAACTCAGTCTACTGTCAATGTAGATGCCCAAATCCCGAATGACTGGTACCTCTTTTAAAACATTTCCCTGAACATGATATGATAAGTGAATTATGTTACGTTTTCGGGTAAATTTGATATGAATAAGAATGACACTGTTTGTTATGTATATATATACTACATGAGGAACGCAACAATATTTCGTATTTCTGTTTTTATTAGCAACAGGTATCCGTTTAGAATCGTGATCCATCTGAATAATCTAACTTAAATAACTTCAATTAATAAACAAACAGTGTCATTCTTAGACAGTTTCTAAATTTCACCGCTAGAGGCGTGCGGATAATCTTTGCATCTCCAATAGAAACGAGGATTCGCCTACTCCTTGAGGGTGTCGAGGCGATGTCTTACACGCAATGCCAAAACAAAGATATTCATTATTTTCACTACCACATATCACTTTAAAATTAATAAACTGTTTTGCAAAAAAACGGGCAATTTAGGTTATCTTCAATAAAGAACAAGAAGAGATTTTATTAATTTGACGATATATTGGCTTATTATTTGTAGAATCGTTAACGTTCTAAATTTAACATTTTAAATTATTAAAAGAAAAATAATGATATAGATTATTCTAGAATTGATTTACCTGAATTTTGGCACGAATTGCTGAAACAATTTTTAACTGATTTCAAAATTTTAAAGCTTTTTGGATTTTTTCTGAAGATTAAATCAAAAGTAACCCACATTGACTGCACTTGGGTAAGATTCCAATTTTAATGGACGACAATGCTCGCCCGCACCCTTCTGGCGACGTGGAAACGTACGTGCAAAAAGTTGGGATCCCTCATTAGGCTAGCCAGCTTGCAGTCCTGACCTCAATCCAATTGAGCATGTCTGGGTTGTTATAAAGAGACGGATAAGATCAGTGCAACCTGCTCCACAAAACATCAGGGAGCTAAAAAGAGTCATTGCAGAAGAGTTGGAACGTATTCCTCAAAACGTTACTAAAAACATCGTGGAAACCTTGACCAGAAGGACTTTGGCAAGAGGAGGTCGCACTCGTCTTACTTTTTTTTACATTTGTCACTTTTTTTATTACAACTTTCGTGAGACACTCTAAATTCTTTATTATGTTTTCAAATCTGAAAAAATCAAATTTGAAATCTGCGTCAGACTGCACTGTTGCGGTCTGGAGTGTGACACAGTTAGCGCGGTATGTAACACTGTTTTTGCGTCGACCTGGGATTCGAACCCAACACCAACGCAGCTTCAGGCGGGCGAGTCTAGCGTGGCAACAGTGTCGCGCGCGCCGTGTCGCTGCCGACGCCACGGATAGAAGAAAGAACGCGTGAATCGCAGAGGGCGCGTTAGGCGCATAGACTCGAGTAGACAGTCGCCGAGTCGCGTGTCGCGGAATGCTGCTCATGAATATGGGCCTCTAGCATGGGATTGAAAAGTTGAAACTAGTCAAATTATTACGTGAGTAAGCCGAAAACATAATAAATTTGTCACTTTATTTAATCTAATAAAGTAAAAGAAAAACTTGTTTTTATTGCCGACCACTTGTTATTGTTTGGGCTGGTGCATCCGTTTAAAAGAAGATATCGTTTTATTTTCTTTCAATTGCCCGAATTCACTTCTCGGGCATTAATTTACACGTGAAGTATACAGGCTACGAAAAAGAAATAAGTTTCATTTAATTAACTCAAATCGATCTTAGAAAATAAATTTCCTTAGGGGCCCGTTTATTTGCAAAAGAGTGTGTCCGAAACGATGTTCCGTGCATAACAGGAATTGTGCTTACTTGACTACACTAAATTCTGGTCATATGTATCGTAATAAAAATGGTGTGTAGTAAAAGTGCAACCTAGATTAAGCAATAATTTCATATCAAAAATTTTATTATCTTACACACGACACTTATATACGTCGGACATCAGAAATAAGATTCTCCTTTCACCAAAATATATCTTACCATAAAATTATAAATGTGAAAGTTACGATGTTCGGACTTTTGGATGTAATTTGACACAGGCATAGGATACACTTCGGAATAGAACATAGGCTACTTTTTATCAACATACCACGAGGGCGGAAGCTAGTACATTATAAAGGTGAGTACTTCATAAGTACCTACCTAATCGAGCACAACAAGAATCCTACACTTTATATACATTAAAAAAAATATACCTTAAAATCCATCCTGCTGACTGATATTCTTTTACAGCTGTTTCAGTTAGATGGCAAAAAATTTTGTTTTACCATCATAGGAGATATCTGTCATGACGACTTCGAGCAAATATCGACAGCAGATGATTTTCTTTTATCATTTATGGAATCATGGAGTAGCAGAAAAGTATTAGAAGACACTCTTCTCGTTGTAATGGGTGACCATGGAAGCAGGTAAAAAAATCAAAGATATTCATCCTTCCACTTCGTTATTTCAAATGTAGCAGTGGTAATGAATAGTTTAACGTTACAGGTTCTCGAAACTTCGTGAAACCTATCATGGCAAACTAGAGGAACGTTTGCCTCTTCTCTCTATCTTCCTTCCGGAAAAACTCAAGCGACTCCGACCCGACGCTGTGGCGGCACTAAATGAGAATATAGAAAGACTCACAACACCCTTCGATTTACACACCACAGTATTGGACGTCCTAGATTTGAAAGACTTGAGCAATATGTACACAATCCCTGGTTGTAATTTACAGAGAGCTCTGAGTTTATTAACACCGGTAAGCTCAAGATACCATAATACATTAAAGTTACGTAACGTTTTTGTTACTAAATTGATTGAGCGGCAAACGAGTAGACGAATGACCTGATGGAAAGCAATCGGAACAATACCGAAGAAGGTACAAGTCTGGTAGTCTTCGGAAGGAATTGGATTGATATCGCCGCCTATCCACCTTGTTCAGTGGATAGAAAATCAATCGTACAATTAGAAATTATAAGTCCACGTTTCCTTATGTTTTACTTAGCCGTTTATCAGAGGAGCTTTAATAAACTCAACCTCCGAGCCACTACGACTAACATCACCATATGCATCATTTACATTAACATTTTACAAAAATGAAAACATAAGTTTTATGCACTATCTTTGTCTATTGTGTTATGGTCCATTAGATTCCTGCATCACGTTCGTGCGCCGATGCTGGCATTGCTCAACATTGGTGTACCTGCACGAAATGGCAGTCTGTGGATGCCTCCTCTCCTATGTACAACCGCGTGGCAAATGCTCTTGCCGAGTACATTAACTCTCTCACTTCAGAATTACGGTAAGCATTTGTAATTTTTCTTATGAGATTTTCACTATCGAATTCGAATGAGCAGGCTTAAGCGGAGTGATACCACGGCCTCAAAGGAAACCGCTTTGAAACAACCAATGCGTTGTTTTGCCGTGTATGTGATGTTACCGGAAACCTATTCCTTCCCCTCCCTCAACACACCCGATCCTTATAATGTCGGCGATGCACTTATAAATGATGTTGCAAATGTCTATTGGCGGCGCTGTTGTTCTTTTCATTAGATATGTTTGTTCGTTTGCCGGCGAATCAAATAAAAAGGGGTACCTACTTGCAATGAATATGAACGTACAAAGATAAACTTCCTAAAATAGATAATTGTACCTAATTAATCTAAACCGGTAATGTTACAGATCGAAATGCGAAATCAGACAAATGACATTTGTAAAATCCGTTTTGCGACAAAAAGTTGATGATCAGGTATTGAAATATGTGAACTATAAGGAAGAAGATGCATTTTTTGGAAACCCTCAAATTTCTGCTCCAAAAGCACCCAGCGAATACTATATGGCTACGGTAAATAAAGCTGCTCCTATTTTTTTCTTTTTGCTTGGCTAATAAACTACATAGTCTGGCCATAAATACTGTTACAATTAAAAATAAACAAAATATTACATTTGAATTTGGAATCGGTCATTTTTATATAATTTTTCATTGTGTTTTCTTATTTTGGCGCCAATAAATTGTTCAATATTTTGCGATGTTAAAATGGAGTGGGGTGATAAAGAGAACCGAATCGTTGTGATTGCATTACACAAAGTGGGTATGGAGCCAAATGCAATTTTTAAAACTCTCCACACGCTTGGCATTAGTCAAATGTTTGTGTACCGGGCTATTAATAGGTACAATGAGAACTCCTCTGTTTGTGACAGAAAAAGATCTGGCCGTCCACGTAGTGTTCGTATGAAAAAGGTGGTCAAAGCAGTAAGGGAAAGAATTCGAAGAAATCCTGTCCGAAAGCAAAAGATTTTATCTCGGGAGATGAAGATAGCACCTAGAACCATGTCGCGTATTTTAAAAGACGACTTAGGACTTGCAGCCTATAAGAGACGCACTGGACATTTTTTAAATGATAATTTAAAAAAGAATAGGGTGATAAAATCTAAACAACTACTGAAGCGGTACGCAAAGGGAGGTCACAGAAAAATTTTGTTTACGGATGAGAAAATTTTTACAAGTGAGCAACATTTTAACAAACAAAATGACCGTATTTATGCTCAAAGCTCTAAGGAAGCTTCTCAATTAGTCGACAGAGTGCAACGTGGGCATTATCCGACTTCAGTGATGGTTTGGTGGGGTGTTAGCTATGAAGGAGTGACTGAGCCATACTTTTGCGAAAAAGGTATCAAAACATCGGCACGAGTGTATCAAAGTACCATTCTTGAGAAGGTAGTTAAGCCCCTTAACAACACCATGTTCAATAACCAACAATGGTCCTTCCAGCAAGACTCGGCGTCGGGTCATAAAGCTCGGTGCACGCAGTCTTGGTTGGAAACGAACGTTTCCGACTTCATCAGAGCTGAAGACTGGCCGTCGTCTAGTCCCGATCTTAATCCGCTGGATATGGTCAGTTTTAGAGAGTAGGGCTTGCTCTAAACGTCATGATAATTTGGACTCCCTAAAACAATCCATACGATTGGCAGTAAAGAATTTTCCCATGGAAAGAGTGCGTGCTTCTATTGATAACTGGCCTCAACGTTTAAAGGACTGTATTGCAGCCAATAGAGACCACTTCGAATAAGCTTTTTATGTTTTAAATTGTTTTATATTTATGTATTAAACTTACATACTGTAAAAGTAATAAATGTTATTTGCAATAGAAAAAATATTTTTTTTATTTGTTACAGTATTTATGGCTAGACTAGGTATATAATAGTGTATAATACATAATATACTAGCTTCTGCCGCTTCGCAAGCTTATAAATGTAATGTATCCCGGGATATTAAAAACAGCACAGCGATTATCGCCGTCTATAGTTCGTTCCATAATTAGAGACAACGATTTGACATTTGGAGTGTTGCAAGTTGTTTCCATTTCATAAATAGTGAAGTCCCGCGACCGGTATTGACCGAAAGACCGAAATTAAATTCTGGACTTCGTGCATTTTGAAAGCTTTACTATTTTTAGCTACTTTCCCTGATACCTTCCTGTGCCCATACTAACCCAGTCGGGTTGAAATCATAATGGTAAGGAGGCAACCGTAAAATAGTGACGCCTTTTAGCAGCCATCAGTCCACGACGTATCGTTCATAATTAGGTACTCTTCTCTTTCCGGGAAATCTCCAACAGCTCGGCGGCTATATTTGAGGAACCTATGCTGACATAGGTTCCTCAAATATAATGTTTTTCTTTTAGCCAGTCTTGGATTTCGCATGTTTATTTTAAATTATTTGCATTTATTAATTTCAAAACTTGATTTTTACATTTTTAAATATTTTCATAAAACAAAAAAAAAACACTTAAAAATATAAAAAGCAGTATCCCACCGGTTACGGGAGGGTTCCAAGCAACCGGTGGTCAGGGTTCCAGAGAAAGGAATCTCCGGACAATGCGCGCCGTGTCTAGAAGTACAGCTTTCTGCATCAGATTCTTGACCCAACCATCTAACGTAAGCCTGCTTAGGTGTTTATCAAGGCTTTTAGCCATGAGACCATTGGCAGACACGACTCTCGGCACAATGATTGCTGAGTCTACATCCCACATGTCGACAATCTCATGAGCTAAATCAAGATATTTACTTGGTTTATCTTTTTCAGCTTTCACAAGATTCTCGTCATGTGGGATTGTTATATCAATTATCATTATGCGACGGCTAGATCGATCTATCACCACAATGTCAGGTTTGTTGGCTACAATTGTCCTATCAGTGATGATAGTTCGATCCCAATACAGTGTGACATCTCCATTCTCGAGAACTGGGTCAGGCAGATACTTATAGTACGGCACTTCAGATTCAACAAGTTTGTATTTTAAAGCAAGTTGCTGGTGGATAATCCTGGCCACGAGGTTGTGTCTATGCAAGTACTCTCCATTAGCTAGGTGAGAACAACCCGAAATTATATGTCGGATGGATTCCCCTGGGCGATGACACGCCCGACAAATGTCAGCCGTACCATCCTTTATAATATATTTTCGATAATTGTTCGTCAGCATAACTTTGTCCATAATTGCACAGACAAAACCTTCTGTTTCACCAAATAAGTTGCCGAAACGTAGCCAGGATACAGACGCTAAGAAGTCTACCTCTGGCCCATGTAAAGCCCTATAGTAGCGTCCGTGCAGCTCTTTGCTTTACCATACATCCTTACGGCCCTTAGTGCTTAGTACTACAGGTTTTCTCCGATTCTCGTTAGCTAAGGAGAGCGCAGTAAGTCCTTTGTCCACAGCGACAACATCTTGGTGCATTTCCACTTCCAACTTCCATTTTTAAGAAGTAGTTTCGGAGACTGCTGCTGGAGGGCTTTGGCATTTAAAAAGCCTCTTCCTCCACATTTCCGTGGAATGTACAGTCTCATTACCGATGATCGTGGGTGATGCATCCGATGCTCAGTCAGCAATGAACGGACTTTTCTATCCAGGGTATCTAATTCCGTTTGAGTCCACTTGAGTATGCCAAAGGAGTACATCAGTACTGGCATGACCCAACCGTTGTAGGCACGCACCTTGTTACCGCCCGATAAAAGACTGTTTAGAACTTTCCTCAGGCGGCCAAAGAAACGTTCCCACAACGTTTGCTTCATGACGGCAGTATCGATGCCCAACGCTTCTGACATACCCAAGTATTTATAGCTCTAGGATGGCGAAAGGGACCTAAAGTTTGTGGAATCAGATATTTGTGTTCCATCCGATTCCACAATCTCCCCTCTCTTTACATGCATGACTGCACATTTGTCCACACCAAATTCCATCCCAATGGCGTTACTGAACATTTCAGTCAGATTCAGTAACCTCATTAGATGTGAATTGTTGGGGGCAAAGAGCTTTAAGTCATCCATGTAACATTTAATACGTCTTCGGTGCTAATCTTAATAGAGTTCATTTGTGGTATCAGTTCGCATTTTCCCTTAACCTCCTCAATCCAATCACCCTCGGTGTGATCAACAGGTGCCGACCAAATGCTGCGCCAGAATGCCTTCGTGGCGCTAAAATCTGGTAGGCACGTGTCAGTCCAAGCCTGTTCCCTTTGGAATGCGCGATTCTGGGTATACCGCTCTGCTCGTCTTTTATATCGGCGAATGCGGTTTGCCCATGCATAAATCTTCTGTTTCAGGAAGTCAACACGCTCTGTGATGTGCGATGCGTAATTCTGAGGCAAAATTGCAGTCCCTGAAAACGCTCTCTTCACGAATCGCATTATCCTCGGGCGAGTGTTGTCCTCCCTGAAACAGATCAATTTGGCAATAAGTGTTCTGACCTCGCCAATACGCCGTTCAATCCTGCACTGCCAAGCAGGTACAGCTGGTTTTGGTAGTGTGGCTCTATTGTAGTTGTCTGGTAATTTCACATTTGCCACACAACAAGCCGCTATAGCTGCACAATACAGAATTGAGTGCGTATCAACGAGATCTTTGCTGTTGTCCAAATATGTTGGTAGCTGTGAATCCAGAGCGCACATGATCGCTTTATTCTTTTTATGCATAGGCAAACGAGGCAAACGCGGTTTCAAATATGCGTGTCAATATTCCTGAATCGCACCCTCCAAAGCTCTCCTCAATTCATCACTGCATATGTGAGTACTTACTTCTGTAGTCCTATCATCATTCGGCACATCAGTAGAGTTTGGTTGTAACCCTTCTGTAGTTTGTGATGGCGGAATGATGACGCGGCTCCTTAGTACTTCACTTCTCGGTCGATCAAGTACGACATCTTCCAACATTCGATTCCGCTGGATGACTCGTACCTGATCCGATAATCGTTGTGCAGATACGTTGACGGATGGTTCGAGCACCTAAAACAGTGCAAGCATTCTGACACGGTACGCAGTCAGGTTATTTCCTCCCTCTGTTGCCCCAAAGTATGCGCGCATAACATTTTCATTCATGGATGTAGTCCATGCGTGTGTCATGCGCGACACACTACCACCGGGCGCTGGGACCCCTCCCGAGGCCGATGGGCCTCGTGGTCCTAAGCTACTCGGTGGCCGACGTTCTCTCCTGCGACGTGGAGGTGGTGGCGACGTTGGCGGGGAGAAGAACTCGTCGCTGGAACTTGACACCACTGCGGTCGTCGGTCGTATCCCTGTATCTGGATCCGGTGCCGACGATGGTGGGGCGGAGCTAGGCGGCGAGGTCGGAGATGGTGGGCGTGTCCTTTGTGATGCAGCTCTTGCTTTAGCTCTCGTCAACATTATGTGTTTTTATTTATATTTATACAGATTTTCTTCTTCACATTTGTCATCACATACGTCATTTTCGTGAATTTATTTATAATTTTTGTATTTTATATTTTTAGGTAAGTACCAAATAGTTAATTATTTAAACTTTCATAATATGTAAATATGAGTCCGATAAAAGGT